GCCCTGCGGAGGCCGGCGTTTTTCCCGCGCTCGCGCGGTGCCCCTCCTCCGCATGTCGTGCTCCTTCGGGAGGGGAAGGAACACACAGACACGATTTACTCGTCGATCCCCCAGAAAAGATGGGGAAATATGGGAAGTGGGGGGGAAGACGAACAGCCAGGAAGTATTAGAGAAATTGGGGGATCCTTGGATTTTTGTGCATCCGCAAGGGCTTCGCCCCATGCCGCCGGCCCCCTTTCTCGGACAATGGGAGATGCAAAAGCTAAATCATGAGGTCTGGGCGCCGCCGTGAAGCAGTGTCGGGACCTGTTTTTTTTTTGGACCCTGACCCTACGGATCTGCGTGAGGGGTGCCGCCGAATTGAGTGTGGTTTTGGTGGTGGTTTCGGCGCCCTTCTTCGGGAGGGGAAAGAAGAAGGAAACCGGAACCGGAACCGGAACCGGAACCGGAACCGGAACCAAAACCAGAACAGAAGAGCGCCGGAAGAGGGCAAACGCAAACCGGAGCCAAAACCAGAACCGGAACCAAAACCAGGACCTCGGGAGCCCCTCGAACCAAAGAAGAAAAAGGAAACCGAAACCGGAACCGGAACCGGAACCGGAACCAGAACCGTGACCTAGGAGGCCTTCTTCGGGGCGGGGAAGAAGAAGGAAACCGGAACCGGAACCGGAACCGGAACCAGAACCACGACCGGAGGCGCCCCTGGGCACCGAGAAAAAGAAGGAAACCGGAACCGGAACCGGAACCGGAACCGGAACCACGACGACCGTCTCAAACGAAAAAAAAAGGAGGAAACCGGAACCAGAACCAGAACCGGAACCAAAACCGTGACCTAAAGGTTTTCTCTGCGGGCGAAAAAGAAGAAGGAAACCGGAACCAAAACCGGAACCGGAACGAAAACCGTGACCTGAGGGTCTTCTCTGGGGCGGAGAAGAAGAAGGAAACCGGAACCGGAACCGGAACCGGAACGAAAACCGTAACCTGAAAGGTCTTCTTTGGGACCCCGAAGAAGAAGGAAACCGGAACCAAAACCGGAACCGGAACCAAAACCGTGACCTGAGGGTCTTCCTTGGGGCGAAGAAGAAGGAAACCGGAACCGGAACCGGAACCAAAACCAAACCGTAACCTGGAAGGTTTTTTCTGGGACCCCGAAGAAGAAAGAAACCGGAACCAAACCAAAACTGGAACCAAAACCGTGACCTTGGGGGGTCTTTTTGGGACCCCGAAGAAAAAGGAAACCGGAACCAGAACTGGAACCGTAACCAAAACAGTGACTGGGGGGTCTTCGGGAGCCCGAGGAAGAAGGAAACCGGAACCGGAACCAGAACCAAAGCCGTGACCTGGTAGGTTTATTTGTGTTCCGGAGAAGAAGGAAACCGGAACCGGAACCGGAGCCGGAACCAAAACCGTGACCTTGGGGCCTTTTGTGGGACCCCGAAGAAGAAGGAAACCGGAACCAGAACCGGAACCGGAACCAAAAACCGTGACCTGCAGCTTCCTTGGCTTCGAAAAAGACGGAAACCGAAACCATAACTGGAACGGCATTCAGAACCGTGACCTGCAGTAGTCCACATGGCACTCCCGTGAAGAAAAAACTGGCACCATGAGGTGCTGTCTTGGAGACGGAGGTTATTGAATAGCGGGTGCTCCCTTGGAGATGGAGTCTCTTGGAAACAGAAGCGGTGGGGCGGGCGGGCGGGCGGGGAGCGGGCGGCGGGTCGGGTTTTTGAGTAGACCTCTAGAGAGTGCTCTCTGGGTAGCGGGCTGTGAGTACTGGGTTGCCTTCTTGGACACGGGGTCTGTTGAGTACTGGGTGTTGTCTTGGAGACGGAGGCTTGTAAATACTGGGTGCTCCATTGGACACGGAGTCTGTTGAATATTGGGTGCTGCCTTGGAAAACGGGAGCTGTTGCCTAGTGGCCATTGTGTTCTGAGTTCTCTTTTGTTTGTGCTCTTGGAAACAAAGTTCTGTTGCAGTAAGGTTGCTCTCTTGGAGGACAGAGCGGGTGGTCGGGCTGGCGGCGGGGGCGGGTGGGGGGTCGGGTTTCAAATAGAACTCTAACGAATGCTCTCTGGCACGGGGTGTGTCTGGACACGGAGTCTGTGAATTATTGGTGCTGCCTGGAGACGGGAGCTGTTGGTACTGGGGGCTCTCTTTGAACGAGTCTGTGAGTAAGGGTTCTCTCTTGGAGACAGAGCGGGGGTCGGTCGGCGGGCGGCTGGGGCGGCGCTGCGCGGGTGCCGGGCGGGGGTCGGGCGGCCCGCAGCCGCCGGGCGGGCGGGGGGCGGGCGGGCGGGTCGGGTTTTTAAACTAGACCTCTAGTGGGTGCTCTCTGGCAGCGGGGTCAGTTGAGTACTGGGTGCCTTCTTGGACACGGGGTCTTTGGAGTACTGGGTGCTGTCTTGGACACGGAGCTCGTTGAGTACTGGGTGCTCTCTTGGACACGGAGTCTGCTGAATGCCAAGTGCTGTCTTTGAGACGGAGGTTGTCTGAGTAGCGGGTGCTCTCTTCGGGGCGGAGTCAGTTGAGTAGCGGGTGCTCTCTTGGAAACAAAAGCGGGCGGTTTTTAAATGCACCTCTAGTGGGTGCTCTCTGGCAGCGGGGTCTAATGAGTACTAGGTGCCTTCTTGGACACGGAATCTGGTGAGTACACACGGAGTCTGTTGAGTACTTGGCGCTCTCTTGGCCACGGAGTCTGATGAATACCGGGTGCTGTCTTGGAGATGGAGGTTGTTTGAGACGCGGGTTCTCTCTTGGAGACGGAGTCTGTTGAGTAGTGGGTGCTCTCTTGGAGACAGACGCGGGCGGTCGGGCGGGCAGGCGGGCGGGGGGCGGGCGGGCCGGGCTTTATATTTTTTTTTTTTTTTTTTTTTTTTTTTTTTGTTTTTTTTTTTTTTTTTTTTTTTTTGTTGTTTTGTTTTTTTTTTTTTTATTTTTTTTTATTTTTTTTTGTTTTTTTTTTTTTTTTTTTTTTTTTTTGTTTTTTTTTTGTTTTTTTTTTTTTTTCTTTGTTTTTTTTTTTTTTTTTACATAGAACTCTAGGGTGTCTCTCTGGCAGCGGGGTCTGTTGAATTACTGGGGGCCTTCTGGGGGGGCACACGGGGTCTGTGAATACAAGAGCGCTGTCTTGAGATGGAGGCTGTGAATACGGGGCTCCTTGGAACGGAATCTGCTTGTGGAATACCGGGTTGCTGCCTGGAGACGGGAGTTGTTGAAATGGAAACGGAAACCCTCAGTGGCTTCGCTCCTTAGAAACTTATGTGTGTTGAGTACAGGTGCTATTTGGAGCACAAGAGAACCACAAGGGCGGGCGGGCGAGGGGCAGCCGCGGGCGGAACGGGCTTTTTAACTATACCTCTAGTGAGTGTTCTCTGGCAACGGGGTCTGCTGAGAACTGGGTGCCTTGTTGGACACGGAGTCTGTTGAGTACTGGGTGTTGTCTTGGACACGAATCTTGTTGAGTACTGCGTGCTCTCTTGGACACGGAGTCTGATGAATACGAAGTTCTTTTGGACACGGGATCTATTGAGTAGTGGCTGCTCTTTTGGAGACGGAGCCTGTTCAGTAGTGGGTGTTTTTTTGGAGACGGAGGCGGGCGGTCGGGCGGGGGGCGGGCGGTCGGGTCGGGTTTTGATGAAAGACCTCTAGTGGGTGCTCTCTGGCTGCGGGGTCTGTTGAGTACTGGGTGCCTTGTTGGACACGGAATCTGTTGAGTACATAGTGCTGTTTTGGGAACGGAATCAGTTGAGACCTGTGTGCTCCCTTGGACACAGAGTCTGTTGAATACTGGGCGCAGCCTTGGAAACGGAGTCCGTTGAGTAGTGGGTGCTGTCTTGGAGACACAGGCGCGAGGTCGGGCGGGGGGCGGGCAGGCTGGTCGGATTTTTTTAAAACAGACCTCTAGTGGTGCTCTCTGGCAGCGAGGTCTGTTGAGTACTGGGTGCCTTTTTGGACACGCAAGTTGTTGAGTACAAGGTGCCGTCTTGGAGACGGAGTCTGTTGACTAGTGGGTGCTACCTTGGACACGGAGTCTGTTGAATACTGGGCGCTGTCTTGGAGACGGAGGCAATTGAATAGTGGCTGCTCTCTTGGAGACTGAGTCTGTTGAGTAGTGGGTGCTCTCTTGGAAACAAAGGCGGGCGGTCGGGCGGGCGGGTGGGCGGGGGGCGGGCGGGCGGGTCGGGTTTTTAAATCGACCTTTCCTGGGTGCCCTCTGGCAGCGGGGTCTTTTGAGTACTGGGTGCCTTCTTGGACACGGAGTCTGTTGAGTACACGGTGCTGTCTTGCAGACGGGGTCTGTTGAGTGCTGGGTACCGGAACCGGAGCCGGAACCAAAACCGTGACTTTGGGGCCTTTTGTGGGACCCCGAAGAAGAAGGAAACCGGAACCAGAACCGGAACCGGAACCAACAACCGTGACCTGCAGCTTCCTTGGCTTCGAAAAAGACGGAAACCGAAACCAGAACTGGAACGGCATTCAGAACCGTGACCTGCGGTAGTCCACATGGCATCCCCGTGAAGAAAAAACTGGCACCATGAGGTGCTGTCTTGGAGACGGAGGTTATTGAATAGCGGGTGCTCCCTTGGAGATGGAGTCTCTTGGAAACAGAAGAGGTTGGGCGGGCGGGCGGGCGGGGGGCGGGCGGGTTGGTCGGGTTTTTAAGTAGACCTCTAGAGAGTGCTCTCTGGCAGCGGGGTCTGTTGAGTACTGGGTGCCTCTGGACACGGGGGTCTGTTGAGGACTGGGTGTTGTCTTGGAGACGGAGGCTTGTAAATACTGGGTGCTCCCTTGGACACGGAGTCTGTTGAATATTGGGTGCTGCCTTGGAAACGGGAGCTGTTGAATAGTGGCTGCTCTCTTGGAAACAAAGTCTGTTGAGTAATGGGTGCTCTCTTGGAGACAGAAGCGGGTGGTCGGGCGGGCGGGCGGGGGGCGGGTGGGCGGCTCTTCGTGGAACAAGCCGTGGCAGAAATACTTGGGGCGGGTAGATATGTGGCAAGACCAACCTTTGGGACTTCACTGGAACGCGAGGGTCTACAACACGTTCGCGGTTCCAATATTGGGCTACGTCGCTCAACTCGAGACGCCCCCGGCTTGGCTGGTCAAGTCGGCCGGCCACTCCCTGCGGAAGGCGGCCAGAGGCCCCGGCGGGTGGGTAGCCTCCGAGGACCTGTGGGCGCTGAGGGAGTCCTTCGGGTTAACAGCCTCCTTCACCAACATCCAGTGGTATGCCCTGGCGGCCAAGATCCGGGTGGTGCAGTTCGACAGGGCCTGCGCGCCAAAGGCTTGCTTTCTGGCGGACGTGGAGCGACTGCGGGAAGCCCTGCGCAGCCCTCCGCGCGACCACTCTCGATTTGCGTGGAACGACTGGTACAGCCGAAGCTTCATCCTGGCCTTGGCCCAGGCGGAGAGCGAGCTCCAGCATCACCACGCCACGGTGGAGGGTCTGCGACGATCACGCCCGTCTGGCGACCGAGCAATTGAGCGGGACACGGCGTGGCGGAAGGATTGCCAACGCACGGTGTATGCTTATTTGGCGGCCCGCATGGCGCCAGACCCCACAATGCGACTGCGGGCGAAACTCCAGAGATGGGAGTTGGAGGACGGACGCCGCCACGCAGTCATCTTCGGCAGCGTGCAGGAACGCACGCCTGCCTGGCAGGGCCGCCGCGCATCCCACCTGCTGCAGGTCTTGGGTAGCCTCTCGCCGCCGCGGGTCCAGGCAGCAGTCTTCTCGACGCTCTTCAATCGATGGACCACAGCTCGGCGATTCCAGGGCCGCGCGCGGTGCCTCTTTGGCTGTGGTGACGGCTCCGAGGACAGCATCGAGCATTACTGCCGCTGCAGAGCCGTACGGACAGCGTTTCAGCGCAAGTTGCGCCTCGACCCAGGCGTTTTCTGCAACCTCCACACATTCCTGCTGGTCAACCCGCGCATCCGCTCGAAGGAGGTGCTGTCCCTGCTCGGCCTTGCCATCTACGCGGTGTACACGTGCACCAACACGATGAGACACCGAGGGCGGTGCGACTTCGAGGTCGCGGTCGACGCAATCACCCAGGCAGTGAGGGAGGGAGCCAAAGGACACAGGGTGGCTCTGCGCGCGCTGCGGTCGAGGTGGTCAGCGGCCACGGAGGAAGCGGCGCTGCCCCCCCTTCCACCGACCTCCTTCCCCCGGAGGGTCGAAGCTCTCCGGCGCGGGTGCCGGGGGGAAGGCCAGGAGGGGCACAGATCGAGGAGGCGCACCGCATAGGCCAGTGCAGGAGCTGACGTTCTCCCCCGCCACCGCTGATCCCAACGGATACTGTTTCTTCTTCGCCCTCTTCTACATCTCCGACATCTCAGATTTACTTGGGTCTCAAAGGGATTGTTTCTTGCATCTATTTTCAGGCCGGTTGTGGTGCAGCGGCAATTTCTCCGACGTCTTCCTGTCCCCCGCCGTCTCGACCCCGACTCCGACACGTCTTCGTCGTTATCCAACATATCCTCTTCAGTTCTGTTGGCCGCAACTGTTGACCACTTGATATATTGGGCTGGCTGGTTCTATTTGGTTGCGTCCGCCTACGCCACCACCGCGACGGCCAGCACTCCCACGCCTGCGCCAGCAGCGATGCCGGCATCGACGCTGGCACCAATTCCGGCGCCTACACTGGCCTTGACACCATCATCGCAGACAGTGCCAACGCCCGCACCTTCGCAAGCGCCAGCGCCGTCGCCCTCACCAGCGCCGTCGCCAGCATCGCCGCCTACACAATTTCTGGCGCCGATACCAGCAGTGACGCCAGCATCGATGCCGGCACCAACCTTGGCGCCTACAGCACCATCGACACTGGCAGCGACGCCTGCGCCAACGCCTGCAGTCACGCTGGCACCAACTCCGGCGCCTACATTGGCATCGGCACCAGCATCGAAGACAGGGCCCACGCCCGCACCTGCGCCAACGCCAGCGCCGACGCCCTCACCAGCTCCGACGCCAACATCGCCGCCTACACCAGATCCGGCGCCGACAGCGCATCGACGCCATCACCGAGGACAGCGCCAACGCCTGCACCTACGCTGGCACCAGCGCGAGCACCTACACCAGCATCGACGCTAGCATCTACGCAGGTACCTATTCTGGCGCCTACGGCACCTCCGACGCCAGAATCGACGTCAGCGCCAACGCCTGCACCTATACCGGTACCAGCGCCAGCGCCTACACCAGCATCGACGTCGACATCTACCAGGGTATTAACTCCGGCGCCTACGCCGGAACCTGCGCCAGCGCCTTCACCAGCAGCGACGCCAGCAGCGACGCCAGCACCAACTCCGGCGCCTACAGTGGCTTCGACACCAGCACCGTAGTCAGTGCCAACGCCCGCACTTTCGCCCACGCCAGCGCCGATGCCTTCACCAACTCCGACGCCCGCCAGCATCGCTGCCAGCATCGCCGCCTGCACAAGATCCGGCGCCGACAGCAGCGCAGACGCTATCACCGAAGACAGCGCCAGCGCCTGCACTTACGCCGGCACCAGCGCCAGCACCTACACCAGAATCGACGCTAGCATCTACGCCAGTACCGACCCCGGCGCTTACTGCAGCTTCGACGCCAGAATCGACGTCAGCGCCAACGCCTGCACCGATGCTGGTACCAGCGCCAGCGCCTCCCAGCGCCTCCATCAGCATCAACGTCGACATCAATTCGGGCACCAGCTTCTGAGACAACGCTGGCACCAGCGCCAGCGCCGATACCAGCAGTGACGCCAGCATCGATACGGGCACCAACCCTGGCGCCTACAGCACCATCGACACCGGCAGCGACGCCTGCACCAACGCCTGCACTCACGCTGGCACTAACTCCGGCGCCTACAGTGACATCGACACCAGCATCGAAGACAGGGCCCACACCCGCACCTGCGCCAACGCCAGCACCAACGCCCTCACCAGCACCGACGCCAGCATCGCCGCCTACACGAGATCCGGCGCCGACAGCGCATCGACGCCATCACCGAGGACAGCGCCAGCGCCTGCACCTACGCTGGCACCAGCGCAAGCACCTACACCAGCATCGACGCTAGCTTCTACGCCGGTACCAAATCCGACGCCTACGGCACCTCCGACGCCAGAATCGACGTCAGCGCCAGCGCCTGCACCTATACCGGTACCAGCGCCAGCGCCTACACCAACATCGACGTCGACATCTACGCGGGTACCATCTTCTGCGCCTACGCCGGCCCCAGCTCCAGCGCCTATACCAGTGGCGAGGCCAGCAGCGACACCGGCACCAACCCCGGCGCCTACAGCACCATCGACACCAGCAGCGGCCCCTGTGCCAACGCCTGCACTCACGCCAGCACCATCGCGTCACCTGCACCTTGGCTGGCAGCTACGCGTCCGCAAGGTGGCCGCAAGTGGCTGGAGGCAGGCTCCGATGAGCCCGCCGATAAAAAAAAAAAAAAAGAAGTACAACACGAGGGACGGGCTGACGATGGGCCGCAGCCTCGTGACCGCACCGACACCAGCACCCACGCTTGTGCCTATGCCTTCACCGACGCCCACGTCTACACCAGCACCGACGCCAGCACCAACGCCGACGCCTAACCCGACACCAATGCCAGCGCCTCCACTTGCCTTCGGCCCGCGGTCGAATAAGCCCTGCTCCAGGCGTCCTATCCCACCCAATGGGATAACGAGTGCGCCACCCACCACTTCTATCTCCAGCTCCGACTCCCCGACTCCGACGCCCGACTCCGACGTCCAGCTCCGTCGCCAGCCCCACGGCGGGCGCCTACGCCAGCGAAGACGCCAGCACCGACACCAGCACCCACGCCGGTGCCTATGCCTTCACCGACGCCCACGCCTACACCAGCACCGACGCCAGCACCGACGCCAGCACCAACGCCGACGCCTAACCCGACACCAATGCCGGCGCCTACACCTGCATTCGACCCGCGGTCGACAAAAAAAAAACCCTGCTCCAGGCGTCTTATCCCGCCTCATGGGATAACGATTGCGCCACCCACCACTTCTTTCCCCAGCTCCGACTCCCCAGCTCCGTCGTCCAGCTCCGACGCCAGCACCGCCACCGGCGCTTACGCCAGCGCAGACGCCAGCACCGACGCCAGCACCCACAATTGTGCCTACGACGCCAACGCCTACACCAGCACCGACGCCAGCACCGATGCCAACACCAACGCCGACGCCTAACCCGATACCAGTGCCAGCGCTTACACCTGCATTCGACCCGCGGTCGAATAAACCCCGCTCCCAGCTACTTATCCCACCCCATGGGATAACGAGTGCGCTACCCACCACTTCTATCCCCAGCTCCGACTCCCCAGCTCCGACTCCCCAGCTCCGACGTCCAGCTCCGACGCCAGCACCACCGCCGATATCTACGCCAGCGCAGACGCCAGCACCGACACCGGCACCCATGCTTGTGCCTATGCCTTCGCCGACGCCAACGCCTACGCCAGCACCGACGCCAGCACCGACGCCAGCACCAACGCCGACGCCTAACCCGACACCAATGCCAGCGCCTACACCTGCATTCGACCCGCGGTCGAATAAACCCTGCTTCAGGCTGCCTGCGAACGTCGGCGCCTGCGCCAGCTTCAACGGCTGCGCCTACATCAGTACCGACGTCAGCACCGACGCCAGCTCGAACGCCGGCACATACGCTAGGGCCGACGCCAGCACCCGACGCCAGCACTGCACCAACGCCTGCGCCTACGCCAGCTTCACCGCCAGCGCCTGCGCCGAGACCAGCGCTAGCGCCTACACCAGCACCGACGCCAGTACAGACGCACGCACGAACGGCAGCGCCTGCACCGTCTCCAGCTCCAGCGCCTACACCAGCACTGGCGCCAGCATCGACGCCAGCACCAAAGACGACGCCATCATTAACGCCTGCGCCCACGCCGGCACCAACGCCAGCACCTACACGGCCGACGTCAGCGACGACGCCAGCACAAACGACGGCGTCTCCACCGGTACCAAAGCCCAGCACCTCCACCAGCACCGACACCAGCACCGACGCCAGCACCAATGCCTGGGCCTCCGCCGGAACCGACGCCAGCTCCGACGTCCGCATCAATGCGTGCGCTTGCGCCGGCATCAACGCCTACGCCCACGCTGACATCAGCACCGACGCCAGCGACTACGCCTACGGCGGGTCGCATGAGCACCACGCCGGATAACGACCGCGGCACGACAGGTACCACGAGCAGCACGGCGGAGCACGCAACCAGTACGACGAGTACTCCTAGGCAGCCCGCCGAAACTCATGAGCAAGACAACGCTTTCAATGAGCAGCACATCGGATACCACGAGCATGGCACGACGAGCATCACGCGCAACACAACGACTACCACGAGCAGCACATCGAGCACAAGGAGCTGCACGGCGGACACCACTGGCAACACGACGGATATCACGTGCAGCGCGCTCACTTCGACATCTCCGAGTCGATCCCTGGAGCCTCGTGATTCTGTCCCTCAGCTGCACCTTCTGAGGCCAGCCGCAGATAGTAGTCTGGGCCCTTCCTTCCCCCTCCCCCCGCTCCCTCCTTTTGCCTCCCCGGCTGTTTTATTTTGTATAGTGTTTTTCAGGTACGCGTGCATGTGCCGGGCACTCCAACCGGGCGGGCCGCTGTCACTCAGCGAGCCTCCAGCGCCCGCCGGCTGGAGCCGAAGACTTTACACCTTACTTCAGGAATGGTTTCGCGCCCAGGCCGCCATACGTGCGTGGCTTTTGTGGCCCGTCGGATATTTTCTGGCGTGCATGTTCGCAGGCCCGATGTTGGCTCTTTCCTCTTCTGCGTTTCGGGTGGCCCTGTAGGGTAATCCGCAGGTGTCGCCGCTGCACTTCTTTTCTCCTCCGCCTCTCTCCCCCTCTCCTCCTCTTCTTCCCTCCCTCCTTGCCGCTGCCGCCGCTGCCGCCTCTCCCCCTTATGATAGCGTGTTGGTGCGTTTGATTCGCTCCACCGGAGCTGCGCTCGCGGGGGATTCCCGAGCGCTGGGGCATGACCAGTCTACGGCCCGTTTTGACAGATACGTTTTATGTGGGAATTCGTATCGGGAGGCCCGTGTTGGCCAGCGCATTCGCCAGACCGCAGGTCTCGAAAAACCCGGTCTTAAGTAACATTTCCGGCCTGGCCCCTGGGCAATAATTGTCTCGGGTGCTCTTTCGCTGTCCCTGCCACGTGCCTGATAGCGTCTCCGTATTCTTTGGTGGTCGGCTGCCCACGCAGCCCGGCTTTCCTCCATGTCCGGGGGCAGTGGCCATGCGAAGTTGTCGAGGCATCCAGCCGCCGTGGTCGACGTGGAAACCAAAAAAAAAACACACCTTGAGTGCATGAGTCATC